CAATAATAGAAATTGTTAATTTACAATCACCAAGTTTTGTGAAAAATCATTATTGTTATATTAATTTTGGATCAATTAAGTTAATAGAATTATTTCTGTAAAAAACGCGGAAATAATAATTTGTTTCAATAATATAGTCATCAATAGTTTATAAAAATTAAATTAAATGTTTATTTAATTATTTGAACTGTATGTTTATAATTAAAGTTTTGAATCATATACATATGCATGTACACGATGTCTTGTTAGATTTCACAAGAATTTTATGACATGTTTAAATCTCAAATATTTGACTATAATTACTTCATAATAAAATTTTTCGATTGATATCACTAAAATAGCAGCTGAAAATAAGATAAGTACATTAGATAAATTCTAGTTTCAAATATTGTCTGCATTTCAAACAATATACTTTAACCTTTAGACTGTCCGGAAAGCCACTTTTATAGCTCTTGTGGGTATACAATTAGTAGAGGAAAGTCCCCTATTATGAAATAAGCGCCTAATATGAGATAGAGACGTTTCGGTTAAACTAATAAATACTATTGGTTCTACTATGAATTTATTGCTCTTGGATTGAAAACTATTTAGTGGAAAATTTATTACTAAATCATGTAATTGTTGTAAAAAGAGATTTTAGAATTTGGATGTTTTCAAGTTTTATTGAGATAAGCCTTGTTTATTATTTAACAAAAAAGTAAATATTTGACAATAAATTCTTTATGCAGTGATAGAGTAGATCGTACTAACAGAAAAATATGAGATATGTTGAATTGCTTAATTAAATAGAAGTATTAGATTTGATAATCGTAACATCGTAAGGTATAAGAATTGTTTATGAGATACCCAGGGTATTTTTAATATAACTTATGCTCCTATATCATAGTGGAAATTATTGTATAATGTAATTGTAATAAATGTTATTGTACAATAATTAAATGGACAACCGGAATGAACGAGTGCCTGTTTCTATGATGCTTGGTTCCAACTATTTGAAGACGAAGGTAAATACAATGCATCGCATGCTTATTTTGCGCGCAAATTGGCTGGTGTTTGTTTGTATTTTCCTCTATTTGCTAAATTTAAAAAACTAAACATTTTTCTTGGATTTTACTAAAGGAAAAAGTATAGAAAGTTGTGCGTGTGCTATGCTATGCATTCCGTGTATTATATACGAGGGGGTAACCACTTAATGTAATCCTGAGACAGAATCCTTGAAATCGTTATAAAATTCATATGAAATCTCTATGTATAATCTGATAATTACAGTAACCACAAGAAATTATTGTATAATATTAAATAAAATCATATATTTTATCAAATGACTTCATATGTAATGAAAAAATTATTTGTAATCAGATGAAATTATGTAATAATTATATAAAGAATATAAAATCAAATGAAATCATGTAATCTGTAGGACAATATTTCAGCTAGTGGTTATCTCCTCAATTATACATTAATTTTGAAATGTTTTATAGATTAATTTAATATAATATAACTGTCTGTTTAATTACATACATTAAAAAAACATTTTATTATTAAATCTATAAACAAGAAACTACGAATTACCTAATTGCTTATTACAAATTTAAAATTATTATAAATAAAAAACAGACGATGTTTCGATCTCGCACTTCATCATCTTTAGTTAAAAACTAAATAATAAATGATGTATAGATATATCCGAACATATACAGGGTGCGCCTACCGATCGCTTGGCGCGCGGGCCTTGGGAGTTGGGGATTGGCTGGCAAGCATGCCGTCCGAGCTACGGTGGCTTGCGACGGTTTGCGCGGCGCGGGACGCTTGTCAGCCAATCCCCAACTCCCAAGACCCGCGCGCCAAGCGATCGGTAGGCGTATACACTTCGCAGTAGTATTCGGCTGTCTTTAAGGATTAATATCTCGTTAACTATTGGGGAAACTTACAAAATAATAGAGGATTTTTCGATTCAGTTTAGTCCGCTCTACCTGCCTATGAAATATTTGACGATTATTTCCAAACACCCTGTATGTTCGGATATATCTATACAATTGCACCATTTATTATTTAGTTTTTAACTAAGGATCGATAAACATATACACTTCGCAGTAGTAGGCCGGGCGAGCGCGTGTATTCGGTTATCTTTAAGGATTAATATCTCTTATTAACTATTGGGAAAATTTACAAAAATGGTAGAGGACTGGTTTTCAACTCAGTTTAATCCTCTCTACCTGCCCATGAAATATTTGGCAATTATTTCAGATACCCTGTATAGGTATGTAAAATCTAACCATTGAGATGCAATTATAAAACATATGCGATATAAAAATCAATTTTTTAACTTTACCAACATGTTTCTTTGTGAAATCCAAATACAAATTGTACTCCGTCTTCTCTCTCTCTCTCTCTCTCTCTCTCTCTCTCTCTCTCTCTCTCTCTCTCTCTTCTCATCATAATATTGTGCTAATATTTTTATGTATTTCATCAATTCAACAAATTTTTAGTCTCGTTTTTTGTCTATTTAATATTGTAAAGTTCAAAATTATAACTGAAAATTTATATAGATATAATACAAATTATATCAAACTTGTTTTTAATGTACGTTCATTTTTATGTAATATATATTCTTCTTTGTTAAATAAAAACATACCCGAGAAACAGCAGAATTATAATACTTGTAACATTATTCCACAATTATAAAAGTTTGGAAATTATTAATTACGATAGGTGGCTTTTTAATAAATAAAACAGTTGATAATAACATTATATATGGTCTACAGTTAAATGACATAAGCATTCGAATAAAGAGAGGGAATGGAAGAGTAGTGGCAGTAAATTTGGGGAAAGGAAAAAACAGAGAGAATCATTGTTTTGAGAAGGAGATAATCTTTCTAATATAGAGAAATAACTATATAGAGAAATAACGGAAAGCCTCTCTGTATCGCTTTATTTGTTAAAATCATGCTACTGTTTTTTAATGTAGATTATTTCTAATATATAAATCTTTTATTGTATGATGTATCTTGATGTAAAATTTTTATTCCTTGCCAATCAAAATTATGATCAAACTACAATGACTAAATAAAAAAAAACCTGTTTTTTTTTGCTGTTCGAACAATGGTCTCTCATTTATTCTGGTTTTAAGTTATCTCTTTATTCAATATTTATCGCATCGCATTTGCTAATTGCATTTAATAAATTGTTTTAAAAAAATTGTATCAATAGGAATACAAATAAAAACAATTAATAGTTTAAAAAATGTATATAAAAATGATTTTTAATAATTATCTTTTTAAAACAAATAAATAATTGTTTTTTATAAAAAATCTTATTCAACATTTTTAAATAAAGTATCTCTATAGTCTGCAATTTATATTGCACTATGAAAATTTTAATCTCTACAAGATAATCTCTATAAGATGATTCTCTGTATGAGAAATAGCAATATACAATATAAAACTACTTTATTAATAAAATATTAACATAGTCTCAAGTAACAAGAGATGAATGTAATGCAAAATAATTATAATTATAACACAATTTCATAAAGTTAATTAGAAATAATTTAACTATTAATTGACACACTATAATATATAAAGTATATCGTTTTAGATAATTATTTTTTTTTTATAATAAAAGATCAACGTTCTCAATATTTTTGAATATATTTTATAATTATATTTTTATATTTTTATGTCACATCTTTACAATTAAATTAAAAAAAATATTTAACTTTATTGTATGGATTTTGAGAAATCTCAATTGCCATCTTAGATCATTCATATTATTTATGCATTTTGGTCTTTCATGTTTTATCTTTGCAATGACCAAAATAACTCGTCTTATTAGTATCATGTTATTGATTGTAATAATCATATAGACACTTGCAAATGATGTCAATATAAAACGAAATAAATGTATTCTGAGACTCAATCAGTCTTATCGTGAAATGCTTGACCCATGCTTCACATGATCACGATGGTAGTTTATTGCAAATGTATAAATGTGTTACTAACATATTTTTCAATAATATTTAGTACACTGTTATAATGACCATTTGTATGTAGTGGTTTGATAATGCAAGTGATGATCTGCACCAAGAAGAAGCTGGAAGGAATATCGATTTCAGTAAGAAAGAAGATTCAACGAAGGAAGCATGCAGAACGATTATTTTTATTTAGATATTATGTACATGTGATTTTTGGTAAGAAACATACAAAAAAGTGATGCGTTAGAATTTATTTGGCATCATCTGATAAGTGAAGTTTTGACAAAAACTATGTATAACTTTGGATGAAACAGTGTTATTTAAAACAAATTATTAATACTTTTGAACCTTTCGCGGGTATTTTATTTCTTTAGTGATACGAAAATTTGCAAGTTATTGCTGTGTCGTGATTCATTACCAATGCCAACGTTTCTGTGAACTTTACGAAACGTTGGCATTAGCAATGGATCACAAGACAGCGATAACCCCTTTTGGCATCTGAGAATTAAAGCAAAAATTATTCATATATATATATATATATATACACACACACACACACTGAGAAAAAAATATATAGTCAATTTTAATAAATATTTAATTCAATACTGCCAACTAAACATTTATTTACTTATAAATAAATATTCGTTCAGTAAAATGAATGATTGTTAATCAAAGTTGGAATTATTCAATTAAATATTTATTAAAATTGACTATATTTTTTCTCAGTAGATGTTATGTTTCTTTTGTAAAAATGTAATATTCTCTAATATTCGACACAGCTACTTTGCTTCGCGTCGCTTCCTTCCCATTTTGACTGTCCCAAATTGGTCTCTACTATCAAACATTCTCTATTCAAGTATTGAGAAACGTCACTGTTAACCAATGGCTGAGAAGAGAGAGAGAGAGAGAGAGAGAGAGAGA